TTTCTTAATGGCTTAACTAATACAATATCTATAAGAGATACAGGACTCAGTGAAGGCTCATAGGTTCTTCAGCAGAGAAATTGCCTTAAAAAGTGATGCCATTAACTGAGATGGGAGCCCCTGACTGGGGGCAAGTAGGTTGAGGGGGAGCCAAGGAAATGATAGAATCCGGTGTGGTATATACCTTTTGCCTCTGAATACTCAAGTGGAAACGTCAGGAAGGTGGAAATACTCCAGTCTAAAGTTTAGAGGCTGGACAAGAATTGAAAAGTGAATTTAGAAGTTCTCATCAACAGAATGGAAAACTAGGGTAAAGTTAGAGAGGGATTTGGGGCTATAGATACAGGATTATTGTAAGATTGGTCACATTGCAGCACACCTAAAGGTAAGGAGTAATCCAATAAGAAGACCTAAAGTGGTGCCCAAGCAAAGTCTGCGTATGGAATAAAGATGAAAAACAGTTGCCGGAAAATGGGATTTGAGAAGGTATTCTCTCACAGCGATTTAGTATGACCATGGGAATTGAGGGCACAGGAATCCAGAAGAGTCCAAGGTTGAGAGATTGGGCCAGACAGGCAGCATCACTGCCACAGAGCACACTTCAAGAAGCTGATGGAATTACTTCTGTGATCTCCAGTTCTTTTAGAGTGTCAGCCTCTCAGGATTAATCTTTTAGTTTGTGAAGAGATGAATAGGTTCTGAATGGTCACCTTTTTTGAGAGCGCATGCTCTGGGGTCTTCCTTTGTAAAGTGCTATGAATAGCATCATAATTGTGAACAGATCAGGTCCTCCTGAAGAATGTGGGCCCATATAAAGGTCCCTGAAGTACATACTCATAGTCATAGTCACAGGAATATTCAAATCTCCTTCTACCTACATATCTCTCAATTACTCAAACTTAAGACAGCTAAGGATAACACAGATTATCCACTAAGTATCAAATCTAACTCTTGTGGGAAAAACTCCTGTGTTGCTTGGTGATGCTACTTGGCAGTTCCTGTCAAGATAAATGATGACCAGAAGCGACAGGGAAAAAAAGAAAAAAGAAAACTGAAAAATACAAATGTTGATTATTTTGTATATATTTTCTGTGAACTTTTTCCCAAGCACTCTCTAAAGTTTTTTTAAATTTTATGCTTATTGGAAAATAGATGAAGAAATAGATTATTAGAGAAATTCAAAAATTCCCACAAGATGTCAGAAAGCAAGATGGTAGAGATGAAATCCCAAGTTATGTGACCTGAAAGCAGTTGCTCTTTTACCTTAAGAACCAAGAAATGTGCACTAATCTAACTGGATGTTCCCTTCCCAAGTACCCAAGCAGTCAGTGAGTCATTACAGACTGGTTAGCCTGGCCCCAGGGTGGCACAGGAACTATGGGGAAAAACATAAAAATAACAAGAGTGCCTGTTCCTCCAGTATGAATGACTTACTGGCAAGACAACCTGTTTTCAAAGAGTTGCAAAGAATTAAGTTGTTCCAGAGGACAGAAATATAATGATTAGCACTATTTTAAGTGTCAAGTTCTATGATTTCACTGTGGGCTGAAGACTGCACAGTGTAAGGAGCAGGTATGGTGGAAGTTGCACAAATTAAATGAAACTCAAGAAAGAATTAATTTAACAAAGCCACTGTTTTCTCATTTTAATTTTTTTTTAAATTTTGGAGATTTGATAACATTTTGATATATTTCTTTTTCCATCAATATATTACTGTTTTGTATGTTTTGCTTTGTTTTATTTTGTTTTACAAAATGGAGTTTTGTTTTACAAAATGGTGCAATATGATTGGGTATCTTTTAAAAAATTAAATATGATAATAAATAATTTCCTATATGTTCCCATTAATACTAATAATACATTTATATAAACCATATATATGTATATGCAAATACTACATTAAATACACACACACACACACACACACACACACACAGACACACACACACGTGATCAAGGTAGACCCACCTGAACAAGAAAAGTACTAGGTCATTTAGATACAGGAGATAACATGATCCAAAAGGAGGATTCTACTTTGGATCAAAGCTGGCAAGAACTGGAGACAGGATCAAATGGCCCTGGAAACAGAGGGGTTAGCAAGAGGAGTCAGCAGAGGGCACATGCATAATTTCTGTCCTGTCTCTCCTCTGGCACTTGAAGGTACCTACCATCTGATCTGTTTTCCTTTCCAAAGAGCTGCTCTGAGGCTCACATGACTATGTGCCAAAGAAAGGTCATTCAGGCATCAGAGAATCCATTTCCAGAAGCAGATCTGTTTACAAACTGGGAAGGCATCCATTATAATAGGGGGAACAAAAGGATTTTTCTTTACAAACCCGTCCCTAACCTTTATCTTAGTGAGTATTCCTACTTTCTTTGGCAGGTTTTTCCTGCTCTGTAGCCAAGTACAACTGTGCTGGCACAGGGTCACCTCCTCACTAGATGTGTAAAGCAGATAGCTGAGGTCAAACTTGCCATCGTAGAGTAGAAGTTTGGGGCGCATACAAAGAAACAACATTTCCATCTCAAAGTTTAACAATGAGAAAGCAATATTAAAACTGGGCGGTGTGGTACTTAAACAACATCTGAGGGCCATCAGCTGCTTGACAGCTCCTAGTCTCCCAACTAGGAAAAATATTACCTGTCGTAAACGGAAACCTGGTCCCAGTTGAAGTTAGGGAAGGAGTTAGATTATTTTGGAATCGGGTCTTTCTGTAACACATTCTTCTTTTTTTAAAAAACATTTTGACCCTTTACTGCATCTGATACTTCGTAATATTTTGAGCATAATTTTGGAGTTTAGTTCCGTATGAAGTTGCACCCTGTAAAGTTGATGCTATCTCATTCAGACTCACAGGATCCAAAGTGTTGCCAAGAACAGTTTTGGCTTCAAAGATCCAAAGCCTATGCAAAATTAAAGAGGTAAAATTTTAGTGCAGTTCCTAAAGGTTATCTTGTCCAGTGTATGAAACTTATATACCAAAAATTCTACAGATTATAAATATAATCTAATCTGTATTATGTATAATCTAATCTGTTTTATGTCATCTTCAATGTTTTTTATAACTTTTATAATTTGCTACCAGAGGATATTTCTAAGGTTAACTTCCTAAATGTAACTGACTAATCATTACTGTTAACATAAAGATTGCCTACCTACTTTTTGCCCTAATATTTAACTAGCTGAATTTCTTAGTTTTTGGTTTTTTTATTACATAATTAATTCATTGCAACTATGATTAATTTATGCAGTAATTAACAAATGCAAGACTGAGTGTTTTTACTTAAACCGTATGATAGTATTTGAATAAATAAAGCATATTACTGCCAAAACATCTAACATGTTGACCTATGACTGAAAGAGACTACACTCTATTCAGATGTTTAAAATAAATCTGAATGAATTGCTTTTTGGAAATGATGATTAGAAACAATGGTTTCTGTGTCACATGAGCAGTGATTACATACAAGTGTCAGCTTGTTGGAAATACTGCTGGCATAGGTCTGTGGCTCATTGGCCATCAAAGCTTGAAGAATAAGCTAGTGCTAATTCAAACGTATGCCATGGAAAGAACTCAGGAAGTATGGATCTGAATCCAAGTTTTGCTATTTTAACTTTATATATGTTAATTTAACATCTACTGTGTACAAATATGAGTCAAATATGCAAGACACATAAGCGAACAAGAGGACAGTCTTTGTTCATAAGGTGCTGACAGTCTAGGAAGAGGGAACAGTTTACTCAGCTCCTGATGTTACTCTGGGATTTTCATGAGGAGGTTAATAAAGTTTAAATCAGTTATGGAGACAGTAATATTACTTGTTCCCGGTATATGATATATTGATGTACGTTCTAAAGGTCCCAACCACCTTATTGAGTAAATATGAAAACGTATTTGGAGTTCAGTGCCTGCATTTGAATACCAGCTGGCTGCAGGACTTTGGGCACGCAACCGAACTTCTTACCTTCTCAACTTACTACAAATTCTGACAGTGGTTATTACTTCCTTCACTGAAAATTAAATTGTGTAATAGTTATACAGAAGAACCCAGCAGAGAATGTAACACTTTTATCACTGTTACACTATGTTTTAATTCTTTGGGAGGCTACTTAGAAGGCAAATAGTTGGGACAAATGCAATTTCTATTTTTCGATTTTGAGGCATCAGTATACTGATTTCCATAATGGTTGCACTGGTTTGCATTCCCACCTACATGTAGAAGGGCTCCTGTTTCCTTGTAGCCTTGCTATCATTTATTATTTGATCTATTGATGATAACCATATTATTGTGATACATACATACCCATTAATAGCAGTATAATGCATAATAGCTAAATCTTGGAAGCAACCCTTATATTCATCAACAGATGAGTGGATAAAAAATATGGCATTTATGCCCAATGAAATACTACTCTTCCATAAAAAAAGGATAAATTTGAGTCATTCATAGGAAAACAGATTCACCTTGAGAGTATAATGTTAAGTGAAATATATCAGCACACAAACTTAAATATAATTTGGTAATAAACACAGAGTAATAATTACAGAGCAAAATAAAAGATATATAATAAGAAATAGAGAGATGGATGTTTTTTAAAAGGGAAGAGAATCAAGACATGGAGGGAAGAACAGAGGATGGAAAAATTTCCATGTATCAACTCCCCAGAAGAATATAATCAATATATACTGGAAACATGTACAAATAAAAATAAAAAGTTAAAAAAAAGAATGTACCACATAATAAATACTCCATTGCAGGTAATGGTTATCAGCATTTAGTATAATTTATTCTCATTTTAACATTAAGGAGTTGCACAGAAGTTTTGCAATTTACTCACGATTATATAAGAAGTTGAAGAGATAAAACCTAGCCAAATCTATATTTTTCCTTTTTCTATTTATAAAAATATTTTTAGAGATGTAACTTGAATAACTTTGAGGGATGTTTAATGAATGTGTCCTCAAGTCCAATTTCTTTGTTTTCTGTTCACATTACAGACCAGGTGAGCCAGGAACATGCAACACTGTGAAGCTGGAATCATTCATCTGAAGCGAAGCACCTGGTCTCCCCATCACTGAGCCTAGCCTGAGAGCAGAGCTCCTTCTGTCTGGTTTGCTTATGTGTGTGATGTGAATTAGTTTGCAGAATTACTCCCTAATGGCAGCGAAGTTGCGAGGATCTGACCACCCTCAAGAAGGTCAGAAGAAGATCAAGAGGGACATCCTTAAGTACACCAAGAAGGCATGGGCTCCTCTGGATGGACAGCTGTATCCTGACCCCAAGAAGGAAAGTCAGACTGCCTCTGACACCCTGCTGGGTGAGGAAGGCCTCAGGAGTATTTGCGGGGGGGGGGGGGGGGGGAGAAATCTGTGGGTGAGAAATATGAGGCTTGCAGCTAGGGGGCAGATGCCTTTGGAACACGGACTTGGAAGAAAGTTCTATGAAATCAACATTTCTGACTTTGCAGACATTCAGAACACAGACTCTCTCAACAAAAACAGATCAGCTAATAAATGAACTCTGCTTCCTTTCCATTCTACCACCCTCTCATTTTAAGTTCCCAGACTTGTAAACTGTAGAGATCCATTCTCCAGGGCATAGAGTTTCTTTCAGGACATCATGATTTTGAAGACTCTTGGAATCTTGCATGTAGCATCAATAATATTGTTAATAATTTAAAGGATAATTAGTAAGAAAATATTTCTCCTGCCTTCCCAAGATGTAAGCTTAGGATGGTTTTCTTCTTCACCCTTTATCAAATTCATTCTACCCTTTCATGCTATCTTGACTGAAAAAACAATCTGCACCTCTCAGGCCTGCTGGCTTTCTAGGTTCACCTGATAGTTTGTGAGCAGATAATGTAGGCACCCACTGCCAGGCAGGATTAAGTCATAGCTTATCAGCCAAGGTAGACAGTATCTAATGTAAATGTAAATAAGTATTTCATAGGAAACATTGCTTTACATCTTCCCATTTTGCCTATTTGCTGAGCCAGTGCCGAAAAGCCATCTTTTACAGACTGGTGCCTTTTCAACGCAGGGCGCCTTTGGCAATCCGGGGACTGTAGTGCAATTTGTCCCTGGAATGAATGCAAATTTGGTTTCTAACCTGGCAGAGAATCCTTGCAAATAAACATCACTGGCTGGCTGCCTTAGGTAAATGTCCTGATTCAATAGAAGAGGCTCCGTGGTGATTTACACCCAACAAGGGAAAGACAAATGTCTCAAGTGCTTTTTCACCCTTTTATGCACACCAGGTAATATAAAAATTATTCTAACATGTCTTGCTCTTCACTGATTTATTTTTCTCTTCTTTAATATCTTTCTTTTGTCCTTCCTTTCTTTTTCTGTCTCTTCCTTTCTTTTTTGAGTTACAATCTTTTGACAACTTTATACTACATTCTCAGGAATGGCTGATTATAGAAACCAGGAGGTTGGATCTTTAGGGAAAAATGAATAAACCTTTCAAACACATGATTAAATATGTAGGAAATAGAACTACTGAGTGGTATTGAGTTAAGTTATTTTAGTTAGTCATGCAGGGACTAACTGATCTGTTTCTTTCTTATCTGTAGAAGATTCCAAGCAAGAAAGTATACAGCAGTGGCTGAACTCCGGAGTTTTGTAAGTGTTTCTCTGTGCTTTGTACATTTCTTTTGTAAAGAACTATGAAAACTATGTGGATACCCTGCTGACCAAGGTGGGATATATAGAGATTTTAGCATTAATCGTGTACTTATAAAACATTATTCTTTTTGGCAAGGGGATACTATTAATTGAGCTGAGGACCTTGTGGTTGCCCTGCAGGCACTGTGCCACTGAGCTACATCCCCAGCCCAGAGTTATTTTATTATTGTAAAGCTGAACATCAATTTAAAACTAACAAATAGAATGTTTCTTTAATGCCTGGCTCTTAACTGGCTTCCATAAGTGCTCTTTTAATAAACTGACTCTGCATTTGCACTCATTAAAAACCAATTCACTAAAATTTATTTAAACCCATTATTTGATTCCCATTTCTTTCTTCTTTTCATAGTATCTCTGTAAATGAAAACTTTCAGCAAGTCATCAACAACACTGGTAAGACAAAAGAATCCAGAAGCAGTTCTGCTTCCTAGAGCTGGATGAAGATGTAGGTGTGAAAAATGTGTGAATGTATCTTCCTAAAATGAAAAATATTAGAGGATCTAGTAGTGGATCAGACCTCAATCCTTGCATTAGATTTATAAGACTGAGGCTCCAAAAAGATCGGTGCATCTGGGAGAGCAGGCGAGGGGCTGGAGCCAAGGCTCCTGTCACATCATCAACTCTCAGACTGCAGCAGAAAACTGCTTAGATTGTACAAATGCACTTTCAAAGATGTAATTACAGAAACGAAATTGTTTAATTTCCCTCACATTGTATTGTGCTTTTACTTCTACATCTACCTTTCCTGCCTTTTCATCTGAAAATTATACTTCTATTGTCTCTCTAATGATGTATTTGTTCTAGAGAAGAACAAATGATTGAATTCTAAGCAAATAAAACAAGTATTTCTGAGCTAGAAAGATGTATCACACTTGTTTTGCTGAGTTTTGATAAGAGCATCATGAAAAGAAAAATAAATTTAATTTTAGGTCTTATGGATTCCATATTTACTAAATGAAATTCCATATTTCTTAGACTCTATGATCTCTCTACTATAAAATGTCCCTATTTTAAAAGTACTAATCACATAGAGAGAATGAAGCCTGGTGATTATAAATAAAAGTCAGTATTTATTATAAAACATCTTGATTTCACAGATATTAAAATGTGAGAAAAGTTTTAATATTAACTAAGTACCATAAAGCATATATATATATATATGGAAAAATATATAAAATAAGAGTTTAATGATTAGGAGGAAGAATTACTAGTCTGGTAGTAATTTACTTTGCTTATTTTAATTCTTTTACTTTCCCCATTTAAGTGAAATCTGCCTACAAAAGTTCATTTAAATTCAGGCGTTTTTACTTTAAAAAAAGGTGTATTATTAGAATTTCTCTTTCATCAATCTGCTTTACTTTTTAAATATAAAGTTCCATGGTCCCAAAATTTTGAATTTTTTCTAATAAATAAAATTTAACAAGCTCTCTGTTCATAATAGTCCAGACTCAAGGAACACACAAAAACTTAAGAAATACACAGCTAGTATTTCATATCCTCTGACACTGACCTTGCCTGGGTCATGGCGAGAGGCCTCGCCCTAATTTTGAAGTGTTCAGTAACTGTATTAGTATCCTCACATCCCAGAAATTACAGACAAATGTTGACTTTCCATCTGAACCAAGTCATGAACTGCAAAGTCAGAAACAGGCGGGAAAGACCTGGAGAAAACAGGGTCATCCACAAACATGCTCTGAGCGTAGAGAACCACAGCTTCCATTTGGCAGCTCTTTCATCTTCAGGGAGGCTTTTAACAATAATGGAATAGCTTCCTATGAATTCAATTGAACCTTTATTTTTACAAGGCCCTTGCTCATTGATCAAATTTTAGACTCAGTGACCTGTGCAGGCACAGGCTTAGCTCTCATTTCTGGGTTGCAGATGAAGAATCTGAGGCACGGGTGGTGAAATGCTGTAATTTGAGGTCACAGCTGATTGAGGGCAGTTGGAGAAGCTGTAAATACAGGTTTCCCTGGGTCTCTCTGTACCCTGGCATCAGCTATGATGCCAGAGATGCGCTCTGATCTTAGGGAAGCCCAGAGTCACACAGGGAAGCATGGGTGCTTGAACAGTAACAAAAACTTGTGATCTGAAGATTTTGGTAAGAATATCAAGCAGAAAACTTGGGGGAAAAGAAGAAATAACTGCAAAAGAGAAAGAAAAGTAGTCACAACTGGAGAAACAGTCCTCTTAAAACTCGTGAGATCATAAAAGGTTATAATGTGCATGAGTATTTGTTTCTTGAGCCAAACAACAAATCACTCAACACTTGTTGGCTTAAAAAACAGAAATTGACTCTCATAGATTATGGATGTTAGAAGCCCAAACTCAAGGTGCCAGCCAGTCATTCTGCTTTTGGAGAATCCCTCCCTACCCAGCTTCTGGTGGCCCTGTGCCACTCTTTAACTTGCATCTGTGTCCATCCTATGACTCTGTTTTCACAAGGTTCTTATTCCTGTATGATGACTCTTCTTGTAAAAACACCAATAATTGGATTTAGAACCTACTGTAATCCAAATCACAGCATTTCACCCCTCTGTGCCAAGCCTCAGAAGAGATCAGTAAGGAAGCCAAAGTTGGAATAAAGCTCCCTTCGAGTTAGGAGAGTAGCATCACCCCCTCCTGCCATTTCATTTCCACCCAGAACACAAAAATAACACCTTATTTAGAAAGAAGAGTTTTGCAAATGTAATTAGTTAAGATCTTAGCACTCTCCTCTCATTACATTCTTTTTTCTTTATCTTTCTTCATCCAACTTCTCTTGTCTTAAAATCTCTTTTGTTCTGATAATCTCTTGTCCTGTCTTTGAGGCCTGACCCTAAGTTTCACAGTCTGTATAAGGAGCCTCCTGACTTTTACACTGAGATGTAATTTCTTTTCTGAACACATACAAAAAGCCTCTCTTGGTTCTATGTATGTGGCACTTCAAGAGTACTGCTTCAAGTTATTAGGCATATGATGTTTCTCCTTGACAAAACCGTAATACAGGGATTTCTAGGGCAGGAACTATATCTAAATCACTCAATTGTGCCAAAACTAGTGATGATGTGTTCGTATTGAAATATTCTCAGAGGGGCTGAGACTTGAGCTGGTCAATAAAAGAAAGTATAATTTTACAAAGCAATGAGGCAAAGCAAGAAAGTAATCTGGTAAAAGTCACAGGAATTTGAACAAAGGCACAAAAATGAGAATAAAACTAAACGTGTGTGGAAAGCACTGGAAAGTGATGAGAGTGGAAAGATGGTTTCATCTTAGGGAGCAAGAAAGGAATTTTTTTTTTTTTTCTGTTAGAGTGCACTCGGATTATCAGTGTCTAAAGATCCAGAAAGAGGGAATCACACTTGATTTCCCAGGACTATAGTGGTACTGAAGTGTCATTTCAAATACTAGTTAAAAGGGATAGGAAGTTGTAACTGGGAACTGGGATAAATATAAGTTTGATGACTTATCTCTGTTTATCTGAAAGTGGACCACAAATAGTTTATGGTAACAGAGGTATCTGCTTTAGGCGTAGAGTTGAGGAATAGAACAACGTGCATTTCACCTTTGCTGTCTCTCTTTTTGTGAGTGCTGAAGTCGCTATAATGATATTTATGACAGATCCTAGTGCTTGTCCTGGCAGTGAAGAGGGTACACTGCATATATTGGGAAGTTATTGTGGACTAACGTTTGTTGAAACAAAAGGGTCAGCAGTAGAATGGGGAGGAAGAATTCACATCACCTGGAAAATCAATAGATACAGGAGGAAGGGAAGAAAAATCAAGCATTCCAATTAGCTTTAAATTTTTAAGCGTGAGCATTATGCAAAATGGGAGCATATCTTTCTCTCTATCTCTCTCTCTCTCTTTTTTTTTTTTTTTGGTAAGAATATGGGTTAAAAATTTGCTGTCTATAACAAACAAAAAATGCTTACCACTTCTACTGAGTGTCCTGATCATGCAGGAGTTAAATGTGCAGAAAACTGTAGAATGCTATTATTTTAGAGCCCTGTGAAAATGTAATTTGATTAGTCTATTGGATGATATTCCAAAGAACCAAATGTCTTCCATGAATCAGTCAGAAATGCTTAGGAAAACCAAAATAAAAAATGCTTTCTAAGCCAATAAAGGTGCTAATTAGTGCCTTCTGCATATCTAACTACATCTTCTCCAGTAATACATTTTGCAGGGTTAAGTGTGGTATCTGCTGCTTCAGATGGCAGAAGTCCACCTAACAGTAGGGAGGGTGATTGGAGACGTCAGTATCTAGAAGAGAATCAGAAATGGAATTTCATCCCAGGGAATGGGATGTATTCAGGACATCAAGGGCTTTCTCCTCACTTTAATTTCTCCCAGAAACAATACTGAGGAATGCAGGGATAGCAGGACTTACTTTACTTTTTCTCTTCACCCTATCTTAAGGTTTGTAGAAAATATAATCTGATTTTTAAATCCTAGCCAACATATCCTGAAAAGGGAAAAACATGTGGAGAAAATTGAAAAAGTAAGTGGAGAAGTAAGTGTGAAACAATGAGGGTCCACCCAGCAGGGATTTCTGTGTTGGGCAGATGTGCATCTATACGGGTCCCACCTTCTGCCTGAGACAGTCGCAAGCCTGATGTCTGCAGTGCTTGAGGAATTGTGGGATAGCAGTAGCAGCTTGTCTGTCCTGCAGTGGCATTCCCTACGCATCAGAATCTGTCAGAGTAGAGATCAAATGCTTCTAGGAACCAGGCAGGTGACTGCAAATAAATGAATTGGGCAGCATAGGAACTGCAAAAACTCAGAGAATGGACCCCAGCTCTAAAGACACGGGACAATGCTGCTGGCTCTTCCACATTTTAGGGAAAGTCTAGGAATCTCAATCCTTGGGAGAAGTAGCACACCATGGGCCACCAGCTTGGGCTTCTGCATTCAAGTTCATTATTGAAAACGGGCCAAAGGAAATAGGACCTGACCCTGACAAGCTCATCCTCGGGCTCCAGGAAGTTTATTTTGTAAATTAGCAAAATGAAAGAAAAATAAAAGCTCTTCAACAGACAAGGGATCATCATTTCACACTGCTCTGTGTAAAACTATGGACTGCTTGTGTTCAAATGCAACAAAGGTCAACTACTCTTTCCACAAAAATCAAGAGGTCAAAACACATGGCATTGCTGTGAAAATAACACTTGCTCTCCAAGGACCCAGAGAGCCTGGGAATGTAAAATAGCAATCAGAAAATGAACATAATCAATTTTTAATTTTGTATCACACTTTTATAAATAAGGCTCATCTTATGAGCTTAAAAAATTATATTAATTTTCCTTGGCATGTTTCCCTCCAAAATATAAGCTTGGCAGCAGAAAGGCCAATGTCTGAAGATAGGCATTTGTGTCATTTTCAACAATATCAAACAGAAAGAGTACAAGGAGTCTGGGCAAGAATATAAAAGCTGAGCTGTAATCTGAGTGAGAGTGGGTCTCAGGTCTCAGGCCTGGGTGCATGCTGTTATAACCTAATTGCTGGTGATGGAAGGCATGAGGCTCTTTTCCCAGCTGGGACTAAAACTGAAAGGTCATCAGATCAGAAAACTCCCTACTGAGACCAAGCTGGTCCCCATTGCTGATAAAAATGTGTCACCTTTACTAACTTCCTTTCCTTGAGCACTGCAGGAAACTGTCATTGGTTTCCAGCCAATCGGATTGGCAAGGCAGAGGGATATGGTGCATGAAGTACATTACTAATTCCACGTGGACACTGAGATCCCAGGCAGAAACCCTGGGTAAAGGGCTCCAGATTCTAGATAACTACATTTTTCTGAAGGGCTAGATTTCCTGGAAGGCCAGAGGTTTTGAAAATGCAACAAAACTAAGCTACATCTTTTCATCAGTATTTGAGAATGGATTACTTCCTTCAACAGTGTCTGCAGTTTACTGTGGCCACTGCACTGAATCCCTTTACTGTACCTGCACATTCATTCACACTTCCTAGTAAATCCACAGCAACAGGAGAAAATAAGAAAAGACTGAGGCCATGACAAGAACATTAGTATTGGCAGAGAATACAAGCAAAAAAAAATACATAATATTTTAGATGAGAAGTGCTTAGAAACTCTCCAGAATTCTCCAGATGAGGCAAAAATGGAGGTCCATTTTGTTAGTTACATGCAAATAGTGCATAGAGAGAGTACAGATAGGAATGGGGGCAGAAAATAGTGGAGGAAATGGCTTGAAATGGTAAATATTTATTTTACCTTCCATTTGGGCAACTCATCATTTAATTTATCTTGGCATCAAATCTTTACAACATGATTGTCTAGAAGCTGAATTGTACTTGCACGCATGATATTAATAAGTTGATAAGGTTTTTTCTTCACGTGACAACTTAAATAAATTACAGGGGTTTTCCAAGTTGGAGAAGCTCTGAGGCTGATCCTGAGTGGAGCCTGCTAAACAAGTGTGCCACCGTGCCTTCCTGAACGGGAGATTTGTATTTTGCGATGATATGTTTTTAAACTCTGAATATTGGAGGTGTCTCACATAGTAAGGAAGTGGACGAACACATTCCTTGGAATGTTTTAAGAAGCAGTTGTGTATTTTATTTAAGTTATTGACCTCTAAAGTTTACATATATGTTCCAATATTATTGTATCTTTTCAAATATGCATAAAGTATATGCTAAGCAAAGGAAGACAAATGCACATAATGAGATCATCTCAATCAGATTTTGATGGATTTACTGAAGATTCTAAGAAACTATCTGAACTCAGAGAGAAAGTGATATAATTAATGATGTCTACTGTGGAAACAGATTTGACAGTAAAGCACAGACTTCATCTGTATCATCATGGTGTGTTTTCACCCTTTGAAATAGATCAGTATTTCTGACTCTGTCTGACTCTTCTCAGAGTTCTATTTGTCTTGTGGTGTAGATATACACTACTATAGCTATTTTCTCCTTCCATCTTTAAATTGCAGTTGTATATGCTGATCTTAGATAAGAATTCACTCACACCTCAATAATGTATCTCTAGTCCTTATCTTTCTGTACTAGTATTCCTTTTTCTTAACAAAATAATTCAGCCTGTTAGAAAGTTGTTCAAAATTATAAATGTTCCTAAATCTGCCCCCAGATATTACACACAGAGAAGTTTATAGGTAACTTGAGGTCTATTCATAGATTCTTTACCCCAACAAGACTCCTAAACTCCCAAATGCAATTATTATTTTCAGTATTCTTTCATGTTTTAGTTACTCAGGTTTGTACATCTAGTATTTCTCCCAAACCAATCTTATGGTGAGAAACTTTATGTTCTTGTATAAGCACAAGATGAGAAAAACTTCCCAGATTTATACATGTTATACATTTGTACCCAGGAGAACCATGAGTGAAAGAAAATGAGAAGACCCTGAGTACTCTGGGAAATTCGTACATGTTACATCATGACATGGTGTCTGAGTACTGCAGGGTCCCCATGCTGGCCACTGAGCCCTCCACTTTGTGCATATTCTCAAATATTCTGTCCTCAGCACTGTCACTACGCAAATGGACCTTTGACACTTTCTTTCTCGTGTTTAGTTCCTTATTTAAAAATCTTAACACAAAACCTTACCTTGACAAATACACGAAATTCCTCTCTGCCTTTCAGGTAAACTGCAAGACACTCTGTTGACAGTGTGGTGTTCTAAAAAGCAACAGAACAACAGCAAACTCAAATAAGCTGTGGCATGGTGCTAGCCAACAGAAATGTCTTTAATCCTGCCGAGCCTCCATTTTCCTCTCTTCTAAATGAGGATTAATAGTACTTACTTCACGTTTTGTGAGACTTTAAAGATTGTGCATGTAACATGCTTGGCACATTGCCTTGTACAAAGTTGCAGCTCAGTAAATAGTCTCACTCTTATGATCAATAATAAAGGTAGTAACACATTTATTGATCAGCTATGTTTGACTGTATGGTTAGGAGCTCTTTTTTGTAAGCAGCAGTTTCCTTACCTGAAATACAAGGCTTAGTCCTCATGATTAAAATAAGTGGAATTTCTCAATAAATGTTGTGTCCTTCATATCTCCTTCTGTCTGGACCATCACTGCTCCTCAGTGGGCCTTAAATAGGTACATTGAGTCTGCTTCTATCCCACCATCCCCAGCGCTGCATTAAACTTACTACAGACATTGTTTTTCTCCCCTTTAATGGGAGGAATACCTCCTTCCCATTTATGAAATTCTTCCCATACTTCAAACTCCAGAATAAACACCATTTTCCAGGAAACCACTGCCAACACCTCCATTAGCTACTGAATTTCCTCTCCAAGGAGCAAGTACATTTTGTCCAGTGTTTGTTACACTGTTTAGTCATTCATTATACTCTGTCTTGTTCATCACAGAGATGTTCTGTATTTCACACTCATACAACCTTAAAAATGGAAATTCAGTCCAACATGGGCTAATTTGGAGATGAGAAATCTTCCATGAGATAGAAGGAAATTTAAATTCACCTCTGTTATTTTGTTTGTTTGTTTTTGTTGTTGTTACAGTTTCTTGGCATGAACAAGGAATCATTCAAATGACTGTGAAAGACTACATGAGGTAGGTAGCAGAATCAGAGTGATTTCACTCTAACATTTTTACAATAACTGAGGTAGAACTGAGTATTAATAATACCATAGATCCTTGGATTTAATGAAAGATCACTGGTTTAACATCAATGCCTATAATATTTCATCAGCCTTGAGAAACAAAGGTTCCTTAGATGTCATAAGAGGGTGGCAAAATTAACTCAAAAAAGGTGGCTCAGGGGATATTTCATTAGAACCTATGCATAAATGACATTTTATCACAATGCAACAGTGTTCATAAGGACCGGTTTATAAAACTGTTACATTCATGTTTTCATGTTGTTACTAATCATCATGACATTTACAAAAAATAATACATACAGTCTCCAAAGTTAGATAGAAAGTTTGCGTCTCTTAATATGAGTAGAGACTAGACCTCAATGTATGGTCCCTTGTAGTATCAGCTTCAGTGGGAGTCCCCAGAGAAAAGCAAATTTTCAAGCAGCTACCAGAGATACTGTACTAGGATATCTGAAGGTAGAGCTCAGTTTAGTTTGTAAATTCTCCAGATGATTCCAAGGCACGCTGTAATTTAAGATAAACTATGAACTCTTCAAAGTTAGGAACTTTGCTTTCTGTGTTTCTCTCTTCCTTGTATTTTCTAGATAATCTCAATTAGCTGAAAACCACATAAACATCACTGTGTCTGTCTTACTGCTACAAATTCATATATGAGAAGCTATTTGTCATTATCCTCCTCCTTAATGGATTGTTTGCTTTTTGGAGTTTTTTGATGAGGTTGTTTTGTTTTGTTTCATTTGCTAGTATGGAGCTATAAGTGACCACAAGAATTTCTCATGCAACTCTCTTAGTTTCTCAGAGGGAACTTGAGAGTCAGGTTCAGGGACAAGCTCATGCTTCCATGGTGTTATTAGGGTTACGACTACATATGGGCCCTTCTGAATCCAAGGCCATAGCTGCTCTGGGTAGCTCTGCTGAATGTTACAAAATAAGACGTGCCTTTTAAACCCAAGATGAAAGCTAAACCATGGCAAGCTAACACGAACTTAGATGAGGTCATAAGTGAAAGAATGTTTTCTGCCTCTACTTAAGGATTCCAAAAATCTCAATATACTTTTAAAACTAGAATTTTAAAAGAAGTATGTTTCTTTTATCAAATTTAACAAAAAGATTCAATTACACAGGGAAGTGGCAGGGTCCAGCCATCCTTACTAAATGTGGATAGTGAAATTCCCAGCCTACTAGATGTCTGGTACAAGTCTGTGTTCTCTAAAATCAAAGAATGAGTTTTAGGAACAACGAACATTAAGAGCAGAATACATTTATTGAGCAAAAATAAGCTTCTGTCCAAGGGAGAGACAGAAGGGGTCCCGAGTGAGTTGCCTTGGACTCCACATTCTCTAGGGATTTTTATAGAGCAAAACCATGAGGGGAGGCAGGTCCAAGGTGAGGTGGGTCCAAGATGGGGAAAAAATAGAGGCAGGTGAGCATGAGGTAGGGCAGAACTATGGTTAACCAATAAATTACAAGTGTAATTATTCAAGTAAAATTGATTCAACAGGGATCAAAAATGAGGAGGCAGTAACAAGTGGGTATGAATCCAGAACAGGGTCTGTGGCTATAGGGAACTGGGTTAGTGACTCTTGGCTTCCTCAGGCTGACAGAGTGCTACTTAGAAAATCAATCTTTAGCATGTGGGTGTATTTGTTTGCTCTTTTGTCTTGAAGTCTGACCAACAGCTGGAGGTGTCTGTCTTCTCCAAGGTTGCAAGATATTTGGTCTTCTGCAGCTTGAAGGCCTTGTCCTGTCTGGCTGATGATAATATTTCTAATTAACTCAGTTGCCTGTAACAATAGGATTTAGACAAATTCAGGAGCCCAAGTAAGATAGCTCGATGTCATTGGGAACATTGATATCTGTACTATAATTTTTGATACATTGCAATTTTATGTCAATTGTCTATTATATTTATTTCACTTATGACCTTAGGTTTAAAAAGCTAAGTGTGATTCATGATATACATGAGCTTTGTAAAACTGAACTGTATTATAATAGAGTTCCAATCTCATTGGAAATGTTTTAAAATGATCTGCAGTACCGGCCTATTGGATCAAGTGATGATCATCGTTTAATAATAAAGGATTTTGGACTATGCATGTAAATGGCCATAGGACTCCTGGGAACAGCATATTACCATGCAGGCTGAAATCTTTTTCTGTTAAGAGAATTAGTGTGGAGTTGTTTCAGTGACTGATAGCTGTATGTCTTTCATTGTATAATTTTAACTTCTTCCCTAAAGTCGAAGCCTAGCAAAGCTGTGTTCATGAAAGGTCCCCCAATGATTTGCCATCTGTCAAGAGTGAGACATTCTGTCACCTTTATAATTAGCGGGCACCTAACACTTAAATTCTCACACCTTCTGTAACAGAACACTCTGAAAGGAGGAGCAGCCCCTCAGCTGCAAGTTCTTCCTTACAGGCGTGGCCAGTATGGCACGATTATTAGAAACCAAAAGGAAATGCAAATGTTTGATCTGAAAGGTAAAGACTGACAGTGACCTCCTGGGGACTCTCTAAATCAACACATCTCACTCTTGGTATTCCCTCTCGCTCTATAGATCTCTGCACGAGTTTTCAGAAACTCCTACCCTATCAAGAAGGACCAGTTTCAATTCGTGCCATCCTACCCCAAGTGTACCACAAAGGTAGGTGATTTTCAGGCATTTTTCATTCAGTGAAGTGATTCTGCACAGCAAAGGATCTTGTGAAATGACACATAAGCACTTGAGAAATACTTGTTGGGTTATGAATGTGAAAAAAGAATAAAGGACAAAAGAATCAGTAAAACCGAGAACAGTTTAATAAGCAAGCGAAGAATTGGTTCAAGCATTGTATGAATTTACATACAGTGGTATAAAAACAGGTAGAAATCTAAGATATATCTATTTAATTCAGAGCATTTATCTATTAGAAAGATCTTCAAGTTATATTTCAAGAGAAAAATTCAAGATAAAGAAAAATACACAGTGTTATGATATCTTAAAAAAAAAAAAGGAAATTTACAAAGTGTGAATGTAGTGACATAGAAATACATCCAGAAGTCCACACATAGATTTAGTAATAAAGGGGTCAGGATTCTTAAAGGTGTTGGAAAGAAAGGAGAGACATTATTTGTAATATTGCAAATTTTAAAAATTAAAGCAGGTTTTCATATATTTCTTACACAATTAAATATACATTTAAATGTTAATATTTTCTTCATAATATGAAAACATTTTAATGACAAATCAATCAATAATAACATCTTTGGCCATGAGGCAATACCCATTGGAAGGAAAGGACTATTTTTTATTTTTCATTTTTGTGCCATGAGTACCTAGTATAGAACCTGGAACATGGAGATGTTCAGTAATTATTCATATAAAAGGATTAAGAAAATTTGTAAAATGAAGTTGATAAGAGATTAAATATTTCATGCACAATTTAATTTCTCACCAAACATCATTTTGCTCCTTGAGCTTATTCTGCATTAAGGTATCTATGTCAGTGTAATTAAGAGATTGGCACACCCAGCTCTCCTGTTAGTTCTGATGATTACAATGATGCCCTTCCCTCAAGGGTACCTGGCCTCATTTCTTCCTTTATTTATTTGGAGTCAAAGCCTCAGATCTCCATGACACATTAGAAAGTGAACTAGATAGTGGTTGCTGCCCATGAGACTATAACCATAGCGGTAAAATTATCTAAACCGTCTCAAATAAATTTGTTAGTGGTACATGTAATGACAAACAGTAACTTCAAGAGAAACAAACACACAAACCTGATAAAAAACCTTATCAAAAGTTCTGAATCCCAGAGAGCAACAAGTTTTGTTAAGTTCAACCCCAGAGAAATTCAGTAATTGGGAAGTGGGCTAGTATACATAAGTACAATTTCAACAAACTGATGTTTACCATTTCTAGTGCCAAAATGGACAAGGACATTTTGACAAAAGCATTTATTCTTGTTTCACAACCAATTAAAAAAAAAAAGAAGAAGAACATATTTTAAACATACCTAAGTATTCAAAATCATTACTTGTAAACATCAGTCCTTATAATCTGCATTTAAAAGTATCTTTGATAGACATGTACAGTTGAGGAATCGCCAAGACTGATACACTATTCTTCTGCAAGTCCCATGTTGCAGTCTTTTACTGATTCCTCTCTTACCATCAATTACCACGTCTTGGTTGTCATTGTACAGTTTCTGACTTCTGTTCTACAATCTTCCTGCCCTATCTAATTTAACATGTGCCCACTAGGGGAATGAAAAGCCAGATGGCTAAACTCATGGCACTGTATGTAAAGTACAGGCAGGAAGTCCCTGAGTAGGGTGACTGAAAGTCCTTTAAGTAAGTATATATGATCTGTTATGAATGTACCATCTGTCTGTTCAGGTTCCTCTCTCAGGCATTTTCCAGAACACTGGTTGACTGGGAAAAAATGGCTTATGGTTAAGTGAGCTGTTATTGAATAAAAATATTATATTTTTTTTTATCACAGCATTTCTGAATGGCTGGAACTTTGGGAAAAAGATCCTGTGGAGATTCTCTTGGATCTAGGGTTTGGTGCTGATGAACCAGACATCTGCACACAAATCCCAGCCAGGTTCCTTCTCTGTGGATCAGCAGTCAGAGGAATTAACATACATGTTTTCCTTGAAGCTCAGAAGCAGCGGATGGACCTTGAGAACCCTAACTTGTATGGTGAGTGAGGACCGTGGAAAGCATCTCAGCAATGGCAAGAGTAGGCCTCGGTATTCAGCAGGACGGGCTAATGGACTGTGTACCATAGCAGCCAACACCTCTCTTCCAGTGGATCACAAGACAAAGCATTCATTTCTCAATTACTCTGCATATCTGCTGTGGGTTTGCTTGTGTCTTTGGGAGAAGGGCTGATCTGGACCATATTGTCCTCACTCTAGGACTTGCCCCTCACAGGCAGTCTGGAACATCACTAGTGAAAACAACAGGGAAAGAGTGCAAAAGGAACACTGCACGCAACTCTTAAAGTTGTTCGACTTATGATTTGTGCAAACAGATCTGTTCAGATTTCAGGACTCAAACAAGTCAAATGGCCAGATAACCCACATGTTGGGAATGTGCGAATTTGCCATATTTCCAGACGGAAAAGTGTTGGTAATACTGTTGAACAAAGCTGATATATATCATAGCCACTCACCAAGGAGACAAAAACTGCTGTCAGGCAAGGGTTGTCATGAATCACTAAGTGAAACCTTAACTTCCCCATTTATGAAGTTTAGGCCACTAGTACCTTTACCTGAAGGGATGGTTATTATTCTATCATATCTGCAGATTGGTGGATTATACATAATCCTTAAAGTTATTATGCATGTTGTTCTATTTACCCAACAAGTGAGCAGTAGAATTTTTCTTTCTAGAACATTGCTAAGAACCTCCTTAGCAATGTTCAAAGGGCATATACACTGTGCCTGAATAATTTGGAGGCATATATCTTGCCGTTAAACAAATTTATTTGGAATCAGATTAATTCAATATGCTAAGGTACACTTTCAGTCTTCTAGAGAAGATATAAAATGGCATTTTCAAAGTAATTTAAATGTAGAATCCCTCTTGCAGCAGCAAAAACAAACAAACAAACAAAAAACACCTTGACTGAATAGAGTTTGGAGGAATTCTAGATGAAAAATGGCAAAGTCTTGTTTCTGGAATAAATAATTTTAAATAAATAAATTCACTGTAAAGAAAGTCCAGGGAGATGAAATGCTGTTCTCAAATGATTACATAGAACAAAAAGTGGATGTTTCATTTAGGTTTTGCATTTTAGTTTCTTTTTCTCCATTTTCATGTGGATGAAATGGATCTCAAACTTTTAGCCATGAAATTTTTAAAGAAGAGTATGACAACCTGAAACTGTTGTGACACAAAGCTTCTTTAAGTTCCAGAAACAGTTTTGGTCTTTGTTGTCTCCTCTTCCAAACAGCACGGATATGTAAGTTCTTTGATCAGTTCTTTATTTGGGGAGAATAAGAACACTTACCAATATTTGAATAGCAGTCAAGCTGATCTGAGAAGTAAACATTTTACAAATGAAATTGACACATGGATTATAGAGGAACTAGGAATTGGTCCCTGATCCTGTGATTTCCTGGCCTACTCTGATTTCTACTATTAAACACTCACCAATACTCTTTTGATTGAAGAAAACTGAGAAAGTTGAATATAAAACAAGCAATAACAAAATTAGTAGGCTGCTTGAAAGATAAAATGGATAATTATGTCTCATTCAGAGTTAATACAAAAAATTCAAACTTGTGAATGAGAATCAATTTGTCCATTCAACCTACCCAAAGGCAAAAATAAAACATCCTACCGATACTTTCAGAGTGTTGTGTTCTCTGAATTGCCTGAACCAATTAAGCTGATAGGCTTTATCTTAATTTTGGTATAAAAAAAACCCTATGGGATGAGTAGAAGACAGTAATAAAAGCTAAATTATGATTTGATCATCCCCACTGGGTCACAAAAGAAATTTATTTCAGCCAAAGCTTAACTTGGGAGGAAGAATGAGATCAGAATTATTCTGAAACATCCAAAACCCAAGAATTTCTATATGTCTTGCATGAAGAGCACAATCCTTGGTGAGAAACCTACCACAGTTTTTGGAGTAGAATCATGATTAATCAGTATCTGCTCCTTTCAGGTGAAAGAAGCAGGTAGGGATCAGGGTGTGCTCAGAGAAGAGTTTGCATTGCTGAGATGATGATCAACAAAATAATACCCTACAAGTTGCTGTTTCCATGGCTTTAGTACCTTGTGATATCAAGCATACGTCATTATTTTTTAAGCTAGCAAGGGTACCCAATCTAAACCTTAAAACGTTGGGTTTCTCTCTTAAGCTAATTAAGTCAGTGCTATTATAATTTGCATGAAAATTGAAAACATCAAGAAAAGTTTACCATTTAAATTTTGTTTTGAAAGACAAATGGTTTTCCTATTAATGGCTAGACTTTTTAAACACTGAGGACAATACTGTATGATCCCTTTCTGAGCCTTGCACATTCATTGTTATTATTTTCACAAATGATATTTATCATTGTACTGTTACAACTTTGTCTTGATTCTGACATCAGATTTGATTGATACAGAGGACAGTCATGATTACCTCAATGAAAATCTGAACATTTAGTGTAACATGGAGCTTACTACTTATTATGTATGTATTAAGCATGCACTCTAGGGTCAAATACCTACAGATAGTTGACCTAGGATTTGGATTAAGGCTACATCTCAGAGTCACTCACAATCTCAGGTGATAGAGATGGTAGAAGTGGTCATTAAATATCTACCACCTGTCAAGTTATGGGAAGGATCTTAAGCCACTTCATACTGAAAGAGCTGGGCTCATTCTTTTACATTTAGTTTAATATGCATAAGTATATGGATTCATACATGTTTATAGTTCTTAATAGATTAACACATAAAACCATATGGACATATATGGATCTATGTATGTAAATGTAAAAGGTGTTTACTCTCCCCATAATACAGAGAACTTTCTTATTATATAGGAAGATCCTCTGAAACAAAGACTGAGAAAAAAACTTGAATTTTTTTTTCTTTTTGAGAAAAGTTTCCACTGTCCAGTTCAGAGTGGCCTTGAACTCACTTTATAGCCCAGGCTAGCCTCAAACTCACAGTGACCCTCCTGTCTGAGTTTCCAAAGTACTGGGATTACAGGTGTGTGGCTCCATGCTCAGCAAAACTTGAGTTTTAAGAGTGTAAAACCTCCCCTCTTGAAAATCACATTAGCCAACTCTAGTTTTTCCTACACCTGTATATTACATTAGTGCAGATTCACTGGGCAGATTCGGTCTCAAATTTGTGCATTTCTTGTCATCAGGCCGTTTCCGACAGATAAAAGTACTGGACCATGTCAGCAATGCCTTCTCATCTTTGCTGAATGATGTTAACACCCTGCAGAATGAAGCCGACGAGAAAGCTGGAGGACACAGCATGAACAGAACATCAGTGAGTGGGGTCAGACAGCGTCAGAGAAGAATGAGTAAACTCTTTCAGAGAGCTTCGAGACAGAGCCTCTGGGGGGACGATAACACAGAAGCATCAGAATCAATCAAGATGAAGGGTGAAGTTTCCATCCCCTCTACCAAACCACAGGAATATGGAGCAGAGTTCTCAGCAGCCTCAATTAGTCTCAACCAAAGTCACAAGTCTCCTTTAGCAGAATGGCATTCGATCCAAGCCATTGATGGCTTGGCACCTTGTCACCCTCTTCGAGCACCTTTGACCAAGCAGTGGCCTTACTCGTCCATGCTGGCCACACAGGCTCCTCCCTCCTGTGGGTCTAAAGAGTCAGTCAAAGAGGGAACTCAGAAAAAACACTTGATTCACAGCAACAAGCTCAAGCAATTGTCTCGACTTGAGGGGAAAACACCAGATTCCTTTGAAATGGAAGAGGTCAGTTTGTCGCACCCACCTGTTCAGTTTCTTTATAGGAATAACCTGTACCACAGTGTCCTTGCCTTCCAGGTCTTGTTTATCCATTCTGTCTTTTGACACCTTTGCCTTACATGTTATTCTTCCAGATTCAGCTTAGGGCAAGACATTTAAAGTCATTCTAGTTACTTCAGTCAGGAATGAACTAGTATGAAATCAGCTTTCTCCTATTTCTTTTCTTTTTCTTGCTCACAGTTGAACCTGAGTTCTTTCTAATTTTGCTTTTGCTCAGTGTTTCAAGATGCATCTCAGTAGGCTTTGCTTTGAGTCTAACTTTTAGTCTTTCAGCTTCTTTAAAGGTTTTCATGTTTCAGCTCCTTCCTGAGTAATTTCCCTGCTTAGAGCCTTTGAAGAGAGAGCTTTCAGTGCTGGAGATGTGCATGTGTTGCTACTCTCCCTCACTAAACTCTCAGCAGCCTCAGAACCAGGGAATGTCCTTGAAAATATCGGATACACAATGCCTACTACAATGCCTTGGACAAAGCTGTAGGAAACTGGGGTTGCTTTTGATTTTAGGGGCTTAGTATTTTGTTTGCTTCATCCATATTTATGCTCATGCAGTTGACCCTATTCCACTCATACCCTCTGTTCTTTCATCTCTGCCTTCATTCATACCAATTCTCACTCGCTTTTCAATAACACCTCCCTCCATACTGCACAACATTTCCCCCCATCAACATACGTGTGAACATATTTCCACTAATTTTTCTATTCTGAATGGCAACTGAGACCTGGAGTTCACTTGTTGACAACTCTGATACGTACTCCAATTACGAAGGAGTAATTGCAAAATGAGTAATCTTCCAACCCCACCCTATCATCTAAATAATCTAAAATCCCCGTAAAATATCTAGACACAAATTTCAACTTGCAGTCACTTCTCCACTGAGAGTACTCTGTGCCAGACCAGTACAGAATTGTTAACAGAATTTGCTTGGAAGGGACAGCAGAGAAGTGACAGGAAGGACACAGAAAGCAGTGACATGGGCCAGACTTTGATACGTCTAGGAGGCACTGTAAAGTCATTTTACAGACATATTAGGTATCCAGGCAACAGTTTAAGGGCTTCTTAACCAGGCAGGTGACTGAGAGGATCAAGAAGTTAATAGGAATAAGATTGGACTATAATCTTAAGAACAAGGGTTAGCCAGGTAAATATGTCTATTGGTAGCCCTCTCTGCCCAATAAAGATATAAAAATGCCTTCAAAATATTTAGCTGCTGATTCTCAAAAAAACATATGTCTTATATAAAGAACTTCTATAACCCAAAAATACAAGACTGAATTCAGAATAGTACCATAAAAATTATAAAAGGAAGAAAAATGGACTTTTGGTTAAGTTTTTTGATTTGAATATAAATGGAGGTAGTATAAAAATAAGACTTTACCTTCACATCAGTCTTGCCAGAGTATTTGGTTACCAAAGTAAGAGCTTGATTACTCTAATGATTATCAATTCAACCTGAAGTTCATTAGTCAGTCTGATATCTTAGCTAAGATCCAGAAAAGAAGTTTCATTAAACTCCCCCCTGTCCTCAAGTCTTACTAGTCTCTACTGTTCCCCAAGATTTTTCCACTCAAACAAGGCTAAATTAAAGGAAAATCAGTGTCCAGTGAGCATCATTCATATGTGAGAATGCAGGAATCAGTAAAGAGCAAATTCTATGTAAAGAAGTAAAGAAGAATGTCAGGCATAGCTCAGCATACTTTCAAATATTCTAAATGACATTAATTCAAGGAAAATCTATTTATTAGATTATATTTTGAGGAAAAGAAGGAATACAAATACAAAACTTTTAAAAATTTGTTTATCTGGCATATAGTACTCAGCAAATATTTGCTGAAAGAGTTAAATAACATTAAATGTATAAAACTATTAACTTATAGGATATCATCAAAGGAAAAACATTATTATAGTGAACTTCAGAGTTCCACTCTGTTTTTAGTGTTCCTTTAATATTTTCTTGGATGTGTATATGTGAGAGTGTAATGTATATGTAAGGCAAAGATAGCTCCAAAATGATGAAAAATAAATTGATTAAATTTTATTGTTACAAAACAATACATATATAAGATATTTTCTTCTCAACATGGAGGAAATAGTTATTTCATTCAGCATCCATGAATGAGTAAGTGAAGCTTGGGTAGACTGCATCTTAAACAGGAGTCAATGCCAGATTTAATATTTATTTTTCAAAGGCAAAGAGAAAAAAGTCCAATTATAAGAAATTAAAAATATATGTGAAATGAGCAAATTTTATGGCATTTAAATTATGATCCAATGTACATAACTAACTAGCTAACAGAAGTCTAACTATGATTGGCCAGACTTTGCCTCTAGATCAATTGATGATACTTTACCCCAAGGCCTACTAAAAGCTGCATTTGGCAACATATGACTCACTTCTTAAACTGATTCCAAAAAAATTGAACACAGATTTACAATGCAAAAATTACACATTTTTGTGTTTAATTTTTCTTAGTGAAACTGAGTCAGCTCTTACCTTTTAGAACTCCCAGACACATTAAATTAATTTAATATGCGTGCAATTATAAACTCAGGGGAAGATGATTCTCTATAACCACAATACATACTTCCATCCTTTACTTTTAGTTACATAAAAGAAACCAGTCCTTTAGAAGTCACATGTGACAATTTAATCATCTTGTTAAATAATCTCAGTTGAACTCTTCGTTAAATATAGAATATTTCAAAAGTTTCGATTCTTCCATTTTTGTTTATTATTTAATAAATTTAGTGCAGGTAAAATGTCCAGAAATACATTTGCCATCCATTTTAAATTGTTACACTTTTTCTCTTTCAGTTTTTAATAGACAACTATGTACTAAAATTGTAATAACTAATTTTTCTTCATTATAAGGATCATAGAAAAAGAGCTTTCTGAGTTACACTTGAAAATGTATAAGATACATACTAGGTTGAGCTACCAAAGCCTAGTACGTATTCTGATTACAAGTGTGAGGTAATGTTCTGCAAGAAAAGAGACAAATGGCTAAAAACCAGAATTAAATAATCTCTCTTATTACATTACTCACAGGTCTCAGTTTATACCTATGGTCATTTAAGGCTATATGTGCCAAAGTTTAGAATGTTTACATTTTTTGACTCAGTATTCAATATAAATCCCAAGTAAATAATTCCAAATGAAATAAACATCAAATCCAAATAAATAATACAGCATATAGGAATAGATGCATGTGAAATGATACTCAGCAGTTTTTTAATTTTTATTTAAAGAAATGGCAGTTTTTTTTTAATTGCAAAATTTTGAGAACTTTTCAACAGTGAAAATTGTTAAATAAACTAATGTGCCTTTAAAGTATAGCCTATTCTTCAGTTGTCAAAAAAGATACTTTCAAAATCATTTCATGATGTAGGAAAAGAGTTCTCCTTCCAAATTTTTAAGTCAAAAACCTTGGTTACCAAACTACATCCATAATAATGAAAGATTCTCCAATGGTAACAGGAACTGTCTTTTTACTTTTAAAATTTTTTTCTATGTCACACATTTCTGTGGTATGCTGAATTACTATTTAAAAGTAACAGTTATCATTTTGTTTTAACAATAACTTTATTCTCATTGAGTATTGATTTTTAATTTCTAAAAAATTCAAAGCTAATTTATACTTCATTAATTTGGAAATTAAGTTTTCTGTGATTTGTCTGAGTACTGCGTAACAACCAAATTGTTCCTCTGAAGTTTATCAAGCCATAATTAACTTGCTTTCTCCATGTATTTTTAATACTGATTAGCAACAGTCATTCTAGCATAGTATTATTACTAAACTTAGTTCAAATGCACATCGTCCAGGCAGAACCACTTATCTTTCCTCTCTGCTAGACTCCTTTATTGCTTTGAGTCTGTATCATGGACACCTTGTCCTTGCCATTTCCTCACAGCAGACTATAAACTACTGAGCTCAAGAACTTAATTTATGACTCGTGTCCAGAAATTACTCATTATGTATTGATTCAAAGGGTGTATTTACTATGAAAATATTTCTAACAAGATATATGTTGCTGTTGTCTTAGGTCCAGAGCTTTGAAGAAGACACTGGTAACCCTCTTGACATGACTTCAGGAACTGTAGGTAAGGATTCATTAACGTGTGTGCTTTTATTAATAGCCTTTCAAAAAGTGAATACAAGTAACTAAACATTTAAGTCTCTTAATATGTATAGCACTCCAATAAACTCCAGAAGATGCTCTAAATTTGTGTTTCAACTGACAAATTAGAAAAGTAGTGATGATAACATACATGTAAATTGTAAAATACCAGAGAATGCTCTACCCCTGAAGCTAATGGAATCTGTGGCTTGTCTGATGCTAATTCTATATGATCTATCTACCATAATAGATAGTTTTTGACATTGCACTGAGACTAACTAGGTGAAACTTTCCTATTCCTACTGCCAACTGCTTGTTATGGTGCAAGTCATATCCTTTTACTGTCAAGCTCTCAGTAGAAATGAGTTCGTAAGCTTCAACTTTCCAAATCACCTCTCAGAATGATGCTCTACCATTCTAGACAATGGAGAAGAAAGTATTTTCTCATTCTTGATTCTTATTCCTCTATTCCTCACTATTATCATAGTGAGTCAGCATTTCCCCAATCTTTAAATGGAGCTCAAAGGAGAAAGTGATTAGTGAAGCAAAACAGAGGGAAGCTAGTGCATTTCCTGAAAGAAAATATGCAAATTTTTAATTTAATTTAGCATGGTGTCAAACACATCTTTTCCATTACAGTGTATGCATGGGCCTCATTTTGCTAAATACCGCTTAGAAATTATGCATTAGTAATTATAGGGTCCTGCTGATTACATAAATTGTTACCCTGCTCTTTGAAGTAATTACCACATAACCTGCATTGAGATTTATGAGACAAAAATAAGCATCTATTTTTCACCTAATTGAATGTTTTTCAGTGAAGCTAGTGGTCCCCTTGTCAATAGGAACTGGCTTCCTTGACATTGTATTAAGAGGTCTACTAATATCATCTAAACCATCTCAATTATTCCAAAAAAATTTATTTGGGAAGTTATGTAAATTGAGAAAGCAAAGTAATATAGGTGGTGGTTTGTCTAATAGAGAATATTCAGAAAACAGGATTTTACTACTTTCAAAACTAACGTTGTTAACCTAAGAATAAATAGCATTAAGAAAAAATAAGCAGAGTTAATTGAATTAATAGAGAAAAGGAAAATTATTATACATGTGTAATCTCTTTGATAGATGTGTGTGTTTACTTAAAATTCAAACAATAAATTCATTTGAAAGATGAAGTCACATGGGACATTTTTCACCAATAAAATGGGCCAAACTGATGTCATAGTTTTAAGGAATCTCTTGCAACACTGCTCCCACCATTTCATCTGCTCCCTGGCTTGTAGGATGTATCTGTTTCTAAAACACTCTCTCTTAGAAACTCATCCCACACTGTGAAAAGACCAAGCTGTGTGGAGTGCCACATGTAGGTGCTCTGGTAGATATATCTAATGGGGCGCCTTGTGAACACGCCATCTTTGATGTCCAGTCCACTCAGCCTCCCTGATGACCTAACCAGACACCAGAACCAGCTGACAGTCTCACAGTTAAGCTGGCCGACACACAGCCAATCGATGTTTTATTTCACACATTGCATACAAATAGATTAAGGAATCTAATGATCACTTCAAATATCTTTACGTGTTAGTTAAAATCATTTGAAAGCTGACTTGTTTTTATCCAAGACCCAAAGCTACAAATACACTATCCTGTCTTAACTCTCAAAAAATTGATGCTTAAATGACAAAGTAACATTAAAAAAAAAAAAAGAAAGAAAGAAATGAAAGTTCCTTTTAAAGGGAACAAGATACATCAACTGTATTCCAGAAGCCTCGGGGAATATGTAGGGTAAGTGATGTGAGAAATTGCAAACAATTCTAAAGGAAGAACTGTTTAGGTATTAAAGACACATGTTTACATCTGAAGAACCATACTAATACATAATGACAATAATTTCTCAATAAGTTTCACTTATCAAATAGAACATATCTCTTCTGCCTTATACAATGAGATAATAGAAAAATGTCCACACTAAAACTTAACATTTCAAAATCAAAAGTCATTCAGAAGAAATACCCACTACTAAAAGAATGACTACAAAGAAGTATTAGAAATCCTCGGAAGTGAATATTCACAATGATGATATGTGAGAATTGCCATGTATATAAAAAACTCCGGTAAGTAAAGATTCCTTTCAGATATAATACACAATGTCTGCTTCTGCTCCTGATAATGCTTGAGGAACACCAAATGAGCCGGCCCTCCCACATGTAAATACAAACTATGGATAAAACAAAGTATTTTTAAAACTCCTTCCTAACCACACTGAAGAGTAAACAAGAGCAGGAAGATAATGAAGGGGATTACAACAATTGGAATAAAAGATCGGGAAAAAAAAATTCCTTTTTAAAAAATAAAAAAGAGCCTTCTAACCTGAGGATAAGATCCAGTTGGCAGCATTCTAAAACTCGAAGAGAAAGCAGTGGGGGGGGGGGGGACTAAGTAGAGATCTCTTTAACCATAAAAATCAGAAGACAGAATGTGGGGCAGTGATAGCAGCTGCAAAGTGAAGAAAAATAAATGTCAGAAAGGAGAGATCCCGAGCAGAAGTTCCCCAAATTCTAGGCATGAAATCAGCCCACATCTCTAGCAGATACTTACTAAACATGCATAGATGAGAAAGATTTCAAGAATCTCAACAAAGACTAAAAGTAAAGAACAAAGATTCCGTTTAGAATTTACTTGGCCCAGGCCCCGTGCCTCCTAAAACAGTACGATATGCCACACCCAGTGTCCAAGCACAGCAAAAATGTACTGGATCGCTGATGAAAAACGAACAAGCAACCTATTTTCAAGGAAAAAGTCAATTCCTGGAAACAATTCATGAAAACTCCCAGATATTGGAATCAGCAGATCAGTGCTTTAGACATGTTATTACAGTCATATTGAAAGATATAAAAGAAAATACACTCACAATGAATAAGAAGATAGCAAACCTCAAATACAAAATAGAAATTGTAATACAGAATAAAACACAAATCCTATGCATGAATATTGTAATTTCTAGAATTCAGTAGGTACTCAACAGCAGGTTGGACATGATAAAAGAAATATAATGTGTATTTCCTCCATAATCTAAAAAAGGAAAAAAATATTAAAATTTCATGGAAAAGTTATCTGAGTTTCAGTAACCTGAGGAGTAATATCAAAAGGTCGAACATACCTGGATTTGTAGTCTGACAAGAAAAGTTTAGGGACAGCTGGGCAGGAGAGAAATATTTAAAGAACTAATAATGGAAATTCTCTCTAATTCACTCACAAACTTAGAGATTGAAAATGCTCAGCAAACTTCAAATGAGATAAAGATGCAGAAAACCACACCCAAACACTGTTATGAGCAAAGTCATAAATATCAAAGATAAGAGAAACTGTTTAAAACAGACACAGACAAATGATAGGGGAAGAAGTTAAATGTCAGGAGATTTTGCATTTGAAATAATGAACGCCAGCAGACTATACCTGTGAGTCACAATACTATATGCAGCAACGTTTCATTCATAAATAAAAATAAAGACATTATCAGATAAAACTAAGATAACTTGTTGCCAGCAAACCTGTTCTACAAGCAATGTTAAGGAAAGTTTCCAAGACCAAAGCAGGTTGCATTGATTTAATACCGATGAGAATTTACAGTAAAGAAGATAGGAGAGGTGGTAAATGAACAGACAAGGCTATAAGATTGCTGTGTGTTACATAAAGTCATATATTATTCATCTAGCTAGATTGTGAAGAAGTATGTGGAACAGCTGTGAAAAATAGAAATGTAGCAAAAATGCTAATAGAAAAAATTAAAACAATGGTAGAAAGTAAAAGAATGAATAATGCCAAAAAATAACTGAAAAGTAGATGACATGAGAAATTATTTAACAAATGGAAAAGTCAAAAGAAATAAATATATAGTGAAGTATCAAGAACAAGATAGCCAAGAAAGACTACTACCTAGATATAATGTGTGGTTAAAGATAGACTCTTTCTGTCCAAGTTTTTATTGAAGTTCTACAAAAGATATAGATATCAGATATAAAGTCAGTGTGTAACAAATCTACAGATACAGCTTTTCTAAAGAAGTTAGAGGAAGCAGGGCTGGAAATTTAGGTCAGTAACATAAGCACCTGCCTGGCAAATGTGAGGTTGTGAGTTCAATCCCCAATACCAAAAGACAAAATAAAAAGAAGTTAGAGGAAGCAATTCCATAACTCTTGAAATTCTCAGGTCATCAAAGCCATAAAGATGAGCAGTTTTCAGAGAGAGAGAGAGAGAAAGGGATAAAGAGAGAGAGCGAGAGAGGAAGGGGTGAATGGAGGGAGGAGAGAAAGGGAGAGTAAGAACCAGAGAGAAACATAGACAACATGATGAAGAAATTTAACTGGTGAATACTGCTGCCTTGCTGTGGATCTCCCAACTTTTGAAGAATTAGTAATGATAAAGCGACCCTAAGAGACCCTAAGAGCCTTTAAAGAAGATCACAGAGCATCATCCTCACATTTAACAGCCACCAATATAGGTACTGTTCTACAGTGTTTCAGATACCTTTCATTTGATCCTCAAGCAGAACTGTAGGCATTGTTATCGTTGCTATTTACTAGATGAGGAAGCTGAAACGTAGGGATACTCAGTAGCTTATCCCTGTCTCACAGATGGTAAAAAGTGGTGCCAAGTTTCTAATGTAGAGCATCTTACTGCATTGTTGGCCCTTGTAAGTACTGAATATGCTTCTTCAAATGCAGTTGGAAGACATGGGCCTGCTAAATGAGGGTAACACAGGTGGCCATGATGTATCACCCAGGTAGAGAACTGTAGGAAGCCAGAGAACAGTTAGCCAGTGTATTCGAATGCATTTTCTCAGATTTTCATCTCTCTCTAGCTGTATCTTCCAGGTGATGGTAATTCATAGTGTAATTGCGAAGCCCAGGGGCTTTCTTTCCATCCTCGTGCTTTAAAATCAAGTGTATTTGATATTTGATAACAATGGAAATAGAGATAAGG